ATATGGAAGTCTAACTCTCACTTTGGAGGGTCTTTTAGGAGTGTGAGGCCACCTTATGTGGGTGTGCGGCCGCACTCCTTCAAAGAGATGAAGAACATGACGGGACTCAATGATTCAAGGCTTAGATCAAGTGGTTCTTCAAGCACAACAAGCTAAGGGATGGATTACTCACGTTTTTGAAGCTTTGGAGAGTTTGTGGTTGAAGAAGCTTGAGAGAAATGGTGGTGTGTGCTGCCAAGGTGTTAAAGGAATGAAAGGAAAGGGGTCTATCCTTTATATAGGGGTGGGTGTGCTTGCTATAAGTGAGTGTGCGGCCGCACACCCATGTGTACGGTCGTACACTACCCCTAAGGGTGTGTATGGTCCGGTTTTGTCACCCTACGGCTTGTTGACTCATTCCTAACCTCAACCTTGGCTATACTCAAGCTTAGAACGCTTAAATGGACCCTTAAACCGTACAAAAAGTCAACAGAACAAGTTTAACATTGATTGAATTGACTAAGTGTTCAAGATAAAAGTTTCGGGTTGTCAGAGAGGACCGTGGTGAAACTTATTCTATTCCCTCATTTGATGTATTTATGATCCTTGTTTGCTGCCAGGGAATTTTCGAAACAACATCGTCAGGTTTGTTGTTCATATTGATCCTTTAGGCTAGATCTTGTAAGATCGTTGTATATGATCTATACGTGGGAATCGATGGGATGAGATAAATTGTTTTAGAGATATGATATATCTATGTTAATGATAATAGTTGGATTTGCAGGTTTGAGATATACATTATTATCACATTGAAATCCCTATGTACTAACCAGGTTTCCCAACCTGACCCACTCAGTTTATTGTATCACAGGTAGCTATACGAAAGATACATTATGCTGAGAGATTCAAGGAGTATTAAGCCACTAGTTTAATTACTATAAGGCTTGTAATATTTCGTTATGCTTATGTTTCTGTATTGACGATGACATCCCAATGTTTTAATATAAATAAAATACATTTCTTCGGAAATTCTTTGATAATACATTTATCATTTTTTTTTGGGAACAAATTCCACAACCTTATTCTTTAAAAAAATACTCTGAAATTTTAAATAAGCATAAACAAATCGGTCTTTTCTGGCCTTGAAAATGGGGATGTCACACACCAAAACCAAAAAATTGATTCTCACGTCGTGACTGGTCCATGGTCACGCGTGCCCAACAAGTTCATCCCTGATCCAAAACTTTGGATTCGACAACTCAGTCGTGACCCAAAACCATCTCCATGTCATGAGGATCATGCCCTCACGTCGTGACTAAGCCAACCAAAATAATCGAGATAGATCTCATTGTTACGTTGTGATCACCATATGGTCACGTCATGACTACAACAAATTGGTAAACTTAATGCTTTCATCTCTTAATCCTTAAGGCCATCCATTCCAACTTTCCAGAAGGCCTTCTTTCTCCAAAGCATCCTAAAAAGCCATGTTTTATATACATGCATGTCCAGTGCATGTCTTGATCTCATAAAAAGTCAAAATGAAGAAGAAATGGAACCATACTCACATGAATGACATCAAAACTCAACCAACCCTCATATCCATTATACACAACCTTCAAGGGACGACAAAGGACCCATAAAGTTGTCAAGTTTATGGAATCCTCCCATCCAAATTTCCACAATATGAAGAAAAAGGAACAATAGGCTTAGATCTAGAAGCTAACATCATAAAGTTTGGATCTTGAATACTTGCAATGCTCTAAAAATGGCTCAAACTCAAAATCCAAGCTTGCCAAAAGGTATTCTACACCATAAGGGTCTACTCTTCATTCCAATGACACCAAAACTCCAATAATAAGATCACAAATGAAGATGAGTCTATTAGTGTTTGATCAAATCTCTAGAGGGTGATGGAGGTTGGAAGTGAAACCCTAAATTCGAGATTAGGGGCTTAAATACGAAGGAAACTCTAAAAGATCATGGGCTTGGGCTGCAACCCTTGTCACATTGTGACCATACACATGTTATGTCGTGACTAGCCTCCCGACACACGTTCTCATTCTTGACTTGTCATGTCGTGACTCATGGTTTTTCCCAAAAACCATGCCTTTGACTCCTTAATGCCTTACACTGATCCATTTTGGAAAATGGATGTTACACTAACCGAACTTGTACCAAGAAGCATAAAAAAGACAATATGGCTAACTAATTGTCATAAATTAGACTACAATAAATTTCTTTATTTTCTAACAATTATCAATCTGGCCATCATCTACATATTCACACATTTTGCAATTGAGACATATTGCAATGACTTATAAGTTTGACACATGCTGCACAATCAATTATTACATGGTTTGTAATAATCTATCTATTACATCCGAATTGAGACTAATAGTTTACTATAGCTAAGTGCAGATGTTGTGTTTTGAGCTCCCATGGAGGCATAAAATTGTTTAAAAGAGTGTTCAACGTCATAATTATTGATAATAATTTTAATAATAGAAGAGTCATTTTTGGGTTGCCCTCAAGACCCAATTGAGCAAATAAAAGACAAGAAGAATTTAGGAGAAATTAGTTTATTAATTTTGCATGACTTTATAAGTTAATTAGAAACTATTTTGGAATTAACTAGGAATTATTTAATTAAATGGGTTGAATGTTGATTAATTTAAATGTTAATTAATTGGAACATTCCATAATCCTTAAGGGATTAGGTAGACAGATTTGATAAGGTTTATTTAGGGTTTTGGAGTTGTTTTGGGACTAAACAACTGAAGACCAATAAATAGGGTGATAAGGATCAAACCCTATTGCTCATCCCCTCATAGAAAATTTGACCCTTGATTCCTCTTCTTAAGGTAATCGAAATTTCGATCTTGCCTACATTCTCTTATTTTTCTTTTGTTTTTCTCTTTAGTGTTCTTGGGTGTGAACCATTAGAGAGATTCTATTTTGGGTCCTCTCATCCAAGTAAGGTGGCAAGAACTAGATCTCAAACAAGGAGATAATCACTTTAACAGAGGTATGTAAACTTTCTTATTAGTTTTGGTAGTTGCAATAACAAAATAAAACTTAGATCCATATATGTTGCATGAACACATATGAATTATTGTTTGTTTCTGCTGCACATAATCGTGTCCTAGCATGTAGAAAATCTATCAAAAATGATATTAATGAGATCCACTGATGTTAAAATAATGTTATACATCCTGGAAAGTTTTGGAATTTGTTACCTAATCACAATGAACACAAGGTTGGTCGCGTACCGACAGTCATTTCCTTAAGGATAAGCTCCTGCACTCTAGTTAGTATCGTTTTGAGGATAAAATGCACAAATATGAATGTAGTTAATAGTTTAAGGTGGGAAAAAGATGATAATTGTAACGTCCCCAAAACATAGAGTAAATATTTCATTCTAAATAATATAAAACCATTAATTTCCATTCCATCAAAAAGATAACCAAAGTATATAACATGTAGTCTCGTCAAACATTAGAGTAAAATATAAAACATATAGTGCGAAATTCTCTGGAGGATGCGATGCAATCAGGTCGGACTCTTCCCTTTGCTACCAGAAGTACCTAAAACATTTAAACTTAAACCGTAAGCATAAATCTTAGTGAGTTTCCCAAGATATAACATACAACACAAGTAATGGGCCCACCCTACATAATGGACCCATCCTGAGTATTTGGCCCCACCCTGAGTATTGGACCCCGTCCTGAATAATGGGCCCACCCAACATAGCATAAAAACAGGCCCCACCCAACAAACACATAAACATACTAGCAAAAGTTACAAAGACATCAATCATTTAATGACACTCCGTGTCCAAACATAGTATAGTGAAAAAACTCATCTCACAGCCAAAGCAGACAACACCACAACTCGCAGAAAACATAATACTACAAACCACCTAAACGCTAATTAAAAGGTCAAATCTCAGTGTATGACCTAAAACCCTAAAGTTTGACCTAAAGTAAAACTTAGTTAAAAGGTCAAAAAGTCAACAACTTAGCTAAAACAGGTGCCCCACACCTCATAATGACGCATCACACCCACTAAATGACAAAACAGTCAGGTTTCTCAGCCTAAACAAGTGTATTCCAGATAATTCAAAAAGGCGCGCCGCGTGTGGGAAAGACACGTCGCACCCATGCCATATTCATAAGACAAAATGACTTATTCCATTAAGTCAATCCTCCACACTTCTAGATTTGGTCCTTAACAACATATTATGGATAAAGTTTCAAACTTTATCCATTAAGACACTCCAGTCCAACAAGATCTAAACTTTAAACATCAAAAAAACCTAAAATGTCCATAGAACTTGCATGGCTTAGAGAACATGCATAAGATACCAACTTTCCAAGTCTAAATGGTTCATATAATAACCCTAAGTGTTTTAAAGAAGCTTGAGTCATCTCAACTCCGATCCTCGTGTCTTGTCATGTACATTTAATATAGGTTCCGTGGTTGTCCCACGTGTTGACCTTTGTAGGTTTCTTCGTCATTAGCTTCAACCTTGTTCTAGATAAGATATCTTACTTATCTTAATTAGCGGATGCTCCGACCGTTTTTACCTCCAATCTCATAGGTTCTTTCACATTGATCCTACACATTTTCGTGGGCTAATCTTGGAGGGGGTTTGATCATCGGTGTTGGTCAAACAATTTTTTTTTTAAAATCAATAAATTTAATCTACTTTTAATTTCATATATGTTTTAGATGAGACTTGAACTGTGACAAAACTAGATACCGTTGGTCTAGAAGCCTATGATGGTGTTGGTCATATAGATAAACCTTGAAAATAATAAGCTATTTTTTTTTACCAAAACTAAAGAAATTAGTAATTACCAAAACTCAAAAATGAAAAAACCAAAGAGCTACCCAAGTTTGAATCGAAGAAGCTAACGAAGAGCCCACATACTTCACTAAAATACACATATTGCCACTTAATTTCCACCATAAAGAGCCGGTGCTTCTCTACCCTTTTTTGAATTTGCATCGACACGATGTCACAAGAAGTCTACAGCGGCGGCGGTGGTAACGGTGGCGACGGTGCGGCCCCTCAGCTATACTTCTGTTACCAATGCAACCGTACGGTGTCCATCAGACCTTCGCCTACAGCCTCCTCCGAACTCGTTTGTCCCAATTGCAACGGTGGGTTCCTAGAGGAATACGAAAACCCTAACCCTAGGCCGGAAACCCCAAATCCTTTTCTTGCCTTCGAAGATCCTTCCCCTTTCTCCTCCTTCTCCTCTGGCTTCCCGCTCGTTTTCTCTACCACTTCCCGTGCCGGCGCTGGGAGTGGCGATTTCCAGAATCCCAATGATCTATCGACACTCTTTGGTGGTCCGATATCTCGACCTGGAGGTGTCCAGAGCCCAGGAGAGTTTAATCCTTTTGCATTTCTACAGAATTATCTCAACACCTTACGAGCAGGTGGGGCGAACATCCAGTTTGTTATTGAAAACAACACAGATGGAGATCCGTCGGGGTTTCGTCTCCCATCGAATCTCGGTGATTACTTCATTGGTCCTGGGTTAGAACAATTGATTCAACAGCTTGCTGAAAACGATCCTAATCGATATGGCACTCCCCCTGCATCAAAATCAGCCGTCGAAAACCTTCCTAATATCAAGATCACGAAACAGTTGTTGGAGTCAGATTACTCCGATTGTGCAGTTTGTAAAGACAGCTTTGAACTTGATGAGGAGGCGAAACAGTTGCCATGTAAGCACATGTACCATCAGGATTGCATTTTGCCGTGGTTGGAGCTGCATAACTCCTGTCCTGTTTGCCGGTATGAGTTGCCTACGGACGACCCAGATTATGAGAACAGGTCACGCCAAGCTTCTAGCGGTGGTGGTTCTTTAGGCGCTGCAGCGTCTGGTGGTGGTTCTCAGGATAGTCCTCTGACACCAAGGACTCTGGAGAGGAGGTTTAGGATAAACCTGCCATGGCCTTTCACGGGATCCAGTACGCCTGCTGAGACAAGCAATAGTGGAGCAGGGAACAACAATTCTGGAGATGCCAACCAGGGGAGTGGTGGTCACGCTAGACAAGAAGATCTTGACTAAAGGCAGGTCCGTGTGAATGTGATCACCTTACCTTATCTTGACAAGTACTTATTTTCTATCATTCATACGTGTCTATCTGATATTATGGTTGTGCAAGATCCAAATTTTCATTGATTTTGTCTTTTTGATCAGTTTGTCTCAGTTGTGATTCATTCAAGAATTGACTTGACTTCTTCCCTATATTAGAAAGCACTTACATATTTCATATATAGAGCCTTACACCATAATTGTTATGGTATTGTCTTGGCGTCATGCTGTTGTACAATTGTGGTGGTGTCCTCTTGCCTTAATCACTAAGGCAGATTAATCAGTTTTTTTTTTTTTTTTCTTTTTTTTTTCTTGTATGTTCACATTACTGGCTCCTGTTTTTTGTTATTCCATTTGCCTTTTCACTTCTTCTATTTCGTCCTGTATCTTGATACCTGTACTGCAGATGTAAATAGCATCTATTTGTTTGTCCATCACTTTTTCTTCTGTAGTTATTTGTTTCTATGTTTTCTCTTGTGTGGGTCAGTGCATATCTGTTTATTTAACACTGTTTACAGCACCAGTAAATGCTTTTCACACCAGGAAACACTGTTCACATTTATTTGTTAGTTTGTATATTGATTTTATTTACTTCTCTTGTATGCTTATACTCATATGTATATACTTATTTGTTTACTTTATATTGTTTATTCGTTACATTGATTTTGATTTTTGAGTATTTGGTCCATCTTGATTCTTGAAGCAGTTGAAGAGTAAGCAATGTACACTCTTTAATGCGATATATTTTTTTCTTTTGAAAAGTATGTTCTTTTATGACCTAGACTTTGTTTTTAACATGCTTCCCTGATCTAAAATGGTTTTGAAATTAAATCCTATTGGTTTATACTTTATACACAACCTTTTAAAGTGTTGAAATTCTAAGATGTGTTTCATATTCTTTATGTTGAAGGGTTAGTTGCTTGGAAACTGGATTATGAGGAGATTTGTCTAGGATACTTGGTATAGAATATTACTTTTAGGTGACTTTAGATTCTAGTTAAGTAGTAGTTGTTTCCATATGGACTTTGAATATTGTGAATTCATTGTTTCTCAATCATTCGATAGATGTGTTCAAAC